CATGTTAATGGAATAAAGGACTAAAAATGCATGATAATCTTGAAAGATAAAGAAAAAGATTTTAACAAAATCCAACACCCATTCATAATTAAAAACAAACAAACAAACAAACTTTTGGGGTGCCCGGGTGCCTCAGGTCATGATCTCAGTGTCCTGAGCTCAAGCCCCATGCCAGGTTCCAGGCTCAGCACAGAGTATGCTTGAGATTCTTTCCCCCACTCCTCCTCTCCTTCTGCTCCTCCCCCCACTCCCACTCTCTCTCAGATAAATAAAACAAACAAACAAACAAACTTTTAACAAAGTAGGGACAGAAGGGAATAACCTCAACCTGATAAGGGGAATCTACAAAAACGCAGAGCTCACTTCATACTTCATGGTGAAAGATTGATGCTTTCCTCCTAAGATTGAAAATAAATGAATGCTGTCCACTCTCATCAATTCTATTCAATATTTTACTGAAGGTTCCAGCTAGTGCAATAAAGTAAATAATGATAATAATAATTATAATAATAGCATCCAAATTGGAGAGAAAGGAATAAAAGTATTTTTATTCACAGATGACTTACAGAAAATTTCAAGAAATCACAAAAAATTCTAAAACTAATAAATTAATGTACCAAGGTCTCAAGATACAAGATTAATATATAAAACCAACGGTATTTCTTCATTCTATTGGTGGACAATCAAAATTAAATTGAGAATGACTCCATTTACAACAGCACCGGAAAGAATAAAATACTTGGGAAAAAAAATTAACAAATGTTCAAGACTTGTATTCTAAAAAGTATAAAACACTGCTGAGAGAACTTAAAGGAGACCTAAATAAATGAAACGACATTGCATGTTCATGAATTGATAAACTCAATATTGTCAAGACAGCAATTCTACTCAATTTGTTCTATAAATTCAATACAATCCCTATCAGAATCTTAGCAGGACTTTTTGTAGAAATTGGTAAATTAATCCTTATGTGAAGTGAAACAATCATCTAAAAGAAGAACAAAGTTGGTGTCATCATATTACCTGATTTCAAAACTAACAATAAAGCTACAGTATCAAGGCAGTGTAAGAACTTTTAAGATGCACTCTCCTAGCAACTTTCAAATATGCAACACAATATTAATAACTATTGAGGTGCTTGGGTGATTTAGTTGGTTAAGCATCTGCCTTCAGCTCAGGTCATGATCCCCGAGTCCTGGGAATGAGCCCCTTGTCAGGCTCCCTGCTCAGCAGGGAGTCTGCTTCTTCCTCTCCCTCTGCCCCGCCCCTCATTCTCTCTCTCTCTCAAATAAATAATCTTAAAAAAAATACTATTAACTAGTGTCATCAGAAATTTGTACCTTTTGACCTCCTTCAATAGACTCCTTCAATTTCTAATACATAACAGTAAATCCTGGAGGAATTCTACAGAATCCAGATTCAAGCTCAGCAGCAACTGGGGAAACAAATGACAAAGCAAGAGAAAAGCAATTACATTCTCAGATTTAAATACTTTTTCTTTCACTAAAAGTTTAAAAAAATTATGAACTTCAACAGTTCTATTAAAATCTAAATACATGGGGCACCTGGGTAGCTCAGTTGGTTAAGCATCTGCCTTCGGCTCAGGTCATGATCTCAGGGTCCTGGAATGGAGCCCCGCATCTCACTGGGCTCCCTGCTCATCAGGGAGTCTGCTTCTTCCTCTTTCCTCTGCCCCTCCACGCTGCTTGTGTGTGCTCACTCTCTCTCTCTCTTTCAAATAAATAAAATCTTTAAAAAAATAAAATAAAGGGCACCTGGGTGGCTCAGTCATTAAGCGTCTGCCTTCGGCTCAGGTCATGGTCCCAGGGTCCTGGGATAGAGCCCTGCATGCTTCTCCCTCTCCCACTCCCCCTGTTTGTGTTCCCTCTCTCACTGTCTTTCTCTCTCTGTCAAATAAATAAATAAAATCTTTAAAAAAGTGAAAAAATAAAATAAAATCTAGATACATGTAAAGATACACAATAAAATACACAAGTATTAAATATATTTGGACCATATTTGCATGCTGAATCATTTAGTAGTCACCTAGGATCAGGACTACTGGTTTTCTCATTTCCTACTTTATTCATTCGTTTATTAAGCAAATATTTATTGAGGGCACATTTTGTTCCAGGCACTATGACAGGCAATGGAATTATAATGATGAATTAGACACAGCCCTCTGCACAATCTTATCCTCCAAACTGGGAAATGGTAAATAAACAGTGATTTCATTTAACCTGACATGCACTGTGGAGGGTTGGTCTAAAGACAGGATATACAGGAACAGAAAGGAGAGGCACTTCTCCCAGTGTTTTGGACTTATTATAAGCCACCATTCTGGTGAGGCTGATACCTGAAGGATGAGGGAAAATTATACAAAACAGAGGAAAGAAACACACACAAAGAGGTAGAGGAGAACATCTGTGGAATTAGAACTAGTGATCTAATTTGACTGGAGATTTTAAAATGTCAGCCATTAGCCATAGTACTTCTTGACAGCTATTTGGACTTTAAAGTAATTGCTTGACTAAATGCCACTAGAAGACAGTGTCTTTCTGACCTTATACCATAAACATGATGAGTTGATGATGCCTTATATTGTCAGATAATAGTTTCAGAGTGCAGGCTGACAGTTTCATAGGGAAGACAGAAGGAAAAGGGAAAAGTATAGCCAAAAATAGAAAATAGAAAAAAAAATAGAAAGGCACACATAGTGATCTTTTTTTAGAGCTTAAATGCTCTGAAAGATCATGAATAAATAAGGAATAATTATATTTTTCAACATGTTAATGTATTTCATTAGATGTGTATAGGATAAAATATTATGTCTTATTCAAACAATAAAATGGGATGCCATTTACTGTTTATAGTTTATCTTAGAAATCAAAGAGATGTAAATTTATTTCCCATATTCCGTCAATAGATCTTCTTCTTTCCAAGTCCTACTCCTTCTGAAATAACAGCCAAATATCATTTAATCATCTTTAAGAGATAATGAAGTAGGAATGATACATTTTAAAACCATTAGTAAGGCTTAGGATTCAGAAAGTTCAGCTCAGGCCCTTATTTGGCAGTAATAATAAAAAGATTGGTCATAAAAACTTTCTTAAAAAAAAAAAACAAATCAAAACCAGAAGTGAGACTTACAGTTGGGGTGGAGGGAAAGCAGTTTCTTTATTCATTTTTAGGCCTCAAAGAGAGAAATCCTGATAATGGAGTTTGTGGTGGCTGACGTTTTAGAAAGCACAGTTTAGAGAGTACTAATGTATGTCTTCAAAAGTAATAACAAGACTTATTTTGTACAATTTAAACTGAATCCATAGCCCTTTGAGCATATTTTAAATTTAACTCTACATTCAATTGTACTGTTGACTGGCCTTTGAGAAAGGGTGTTACAGTACAAAGAGCATGGCCTGCTGAACCAGACTACCTAGATCAGAAACCCTGTCATGACGCTTGTCAGCTGGGGGATGTTGCCAAAATCATTTAATCTCCCTGGGTCAGTTTTCTTATGCATAAAGCAGGAATACTTACTTCTAACACAGGGTTGTTGTAAACTTAAATTAAATAAATATCTCCCGTGCTTGGTATTGTCAAACCCTCAATACACTTTTGCCAAGTGAATTAATATTAAACAGGTTAGTGATATTTAATGTCAAATTAGGACTTTGGACTCCAAAGATAACCTTTTTCTGGTTTTGTTTTGTTTTTAGGGTTAAATAAATTTATTTTTAATTCTTTTGGGGTGTGGTTCCAAATCCCAGAATAAATGACTTTTTAAAAAAAATATTGTATTTATTTATTTTATAAAGAGAGAGAGATAGCAGGGGGAGGAGCAGAGGGAGAGGGAAGGGGAGCAGAGGGAGATTGACAAGGGGCTCAATCCCAAGACCCTGAGATCACAACCTAAGTCAAAACCAAGAGTCAGATGCTTCACCCACTGAGCCACCCACGCACCCCTGGAATAAATGATTTTTAAAAAGATCCAATAAAAAAAAAGAATCAGAAAATACAGATAAGCTTTTTTTTTCTTTCTTACACAACAAATTTATTCTCTCACAGTTCTGGAGCATATTAAGTCCAACATCAAGTTGTCCGCGGGTGTGGTTTCTTCTGAGGCCTCTCTCCTTGGCTTGTAGATGGACACCTGCTGCCTGTCTTTAGCCGGTCTTCCCTGTGTGCCTGTGTTCTATCTCCTTTTCTTATAAGGACACCACTCATAGTCAATTAGGTCCCACATTAATGACTTCATTTTAACTTAATTACCTCTTTAACCCTATTCCCCATAACAGTCACATTCTGAGATACTGGAGTTTGGGACTTCAGTGCATGAATTTTGACGGGATTAAATTCAGCCTGCAATACCCCTCTGCCCTACAACCCTGTGTTAGCAGTGGCCTTTCCCCCTTAAAGATGATTCTATTTAGTTTTAGGGGTAGTAAAATAATTAGCTGCTATATTTTAATTATTAGAAACAATTCTGCTAAATAAGAACACAGGCAGTCAGAGCCCAGTGGAAGGGACTTGATAGGGCCGGCGGGGGAAGAACTTCGCAGTCAGTTGGAAAGGAACGCGGGTCAGCGGGTGACCCATACAAACGGCGACAGTCAAAGCATCTCTGGGCTTTTTAACTCCTACATCTTGGGGGTGACCACGTGACGTTCGTGTTCCTGATGACCAGCGAGCCGACCCTGGTACGGGACTTCAGTTTACACAGCACTTTGACAGGCTTTGTCTCTCTTAAGCCTCCTGTCCCCGGGGGGTGAGGCTGGTGGAGATTTGTCAGCGGCCAATTGTTTACTCTGCCAACATTCCAAAGAGCAAAATGTGCCCCTGTCCGGGAGTGTGACTCGCTCCTGGGACAATTACTCAGCGACATCCCGTAGCCCTCGCGCCCCCAATGTAGACTACCCCACCCTCTGGACGCATGCGCAGTTGCGGAGCTCTTCCTGCGAAAGCGCTGCGGATACCCTAGGCAGACTCGTCGGTGCGGCAGCGAGAGGGTCTCGCCCGGCTCTACGTCACTTGTGTGCGACGGCGCCTGCGCTGGACACCATGCTGTCAGCCCAGCGGCGAGGTCTGGTGTTCCTACGGCTGCGGCGCCTCAGGAGGTGGCTAGGGCTCGGAACTTCTTCGTTCCTGCGGGGCCTTGGGCGAGAGCCCTTGCAGACAGCCCGGTCACTGTGTTGCGAATCCTCGCCTAGAGACGCACGAGACGGAGAGGGATGGCGCGAAGCGTCACGGAGCAAAGCCCCCAGCACAGAGTCGCCTCCATCTCTCCCTCTGCGCGTCCGAGGCACTGGGATCGGATGTCTTTCGTCACTGGAAGTCCTCAGACTGCCGACGCCAGAAGAGGAGTCACCCTCTCGAGAGCGCGAGGACTCGAGCGGAGACCAGGACCAGCCCGGTCCCGCCCACCAGGGATCCAGGGGTCCCTTGCCTCCCTCCTTGGCCCAGTCTGTGACCGAGGTAGAAGAGCTTCCTGGCCCCTCTTCCTGGCCAGTTTCCAGGGAGGGGCCCTTTCGCGTTGGGGAGCTGATCTTAGCTGAGACTGGGAAGAGAGAAACACAATTTAAAAAATTATTTAGGTTGAGTAACGCCGGACACTTGAATAGTAGCTGGGGGACTGTCCCGTTCAGCGAGATCGTGGGAAAGTTTCCCGGCCAGATACTGAGGAGTTCTTCTGGTAAGCACCTCAAGCTGAGGAGGCCGGCATTGGAAGACTATGTATTACTGATGAAAAGAGGGCCTGCCATAACGTATCCTAAGGTAATGCGGTGGGAGTTGGGTGCGTATTGGTTCCAGAAAGAGCAGAACTACAGTCCTGATTCATGTACTTAAAGCACATCTCAGAACGTGTGATGTTTTTATGTTCTCGGACTTAAAAAACAAAACAAAAAATAATGGATGTGACTTTTACATATTTTATGATTGCGAATTTTAGGAGGAAACAGCCACCTTTTCATTTTAATTTGGGAGTGCTCATTCATCTGTAAAGTGAAAAGAATATTGACCTACTATGTAGAGTTATGTGAACTAATCAGGCACATAATAAGTACTTATATTTGTTCCCCATAACCCTTAAGTTTGCAAGTTCAGGACTCGAGAATGTTCAACTCTTTTGGTACCATTATGGAGATATTTTAATCATCATTTAATTAAATAAAGCATGTTACTAGGGGTATGTTTTATCAGTGATAGATATGTTACTGTGCTTTTCTCTTTAGGGAAAAAATAGTGTTTTGTATTAAAACAGCTAACACTAAACGTACGAGAAATATTCTTTATAATAAATTAACTGCTTAGTTTCTTGTTACAACTTTATACTAATCATCCACTGCTAGTGGTTTATTTCAGTTCTTAATCATAGTCACAGTCCTTGAGTAGAATGTTCCTTTGTAACAACTCCTCCTATCCCCAGATGAGGAGTCCTTCGTCATTTATTCAGCAAATAATTGCCTATCTTCTATATTCAGGGCACTATTATAGGCACTATTATAGGTGATGAGCCCCAGTCCTTGCTCTCAACCTAGATGTTACATCCTAGAGGAAGTGACAGAGAACACACAAGTAAATGAAAGGATAGGATAATTTCAGGTAGTGCTAAGTGCCACGAAGACAAATAGATTAACAGTGACATGCTGGGGTGACCTGGGGGAGGAGAATGCTTTATGTCAGATGGTTAAGGAAGGTCTCAAAAGAGGTACGTTTGATAAGAAACCTAATGTAAGGAAAAGCCAGCCGTGCAGAGATCTAGGAGCCCAGTGTTCTTGCAAAGGGAAGAGTAGTGCAGAGATGCTATTATGGCTTGAGTGAGTTAGGTGAGGGAGAAAGTGGTATGAGATGTGGTTATTCCATGTACATTGGGTACCATTGGAATGTTCTAAGTAGGAATCCAATTTATGTTGTAAACGGTCTACCAAGGGACAAAGAAAACCTTTTAGGAGGCTTTAAGCAAGTGGGGTATCATAAACTCTTGACGGAAACTTTGTCTTTTTCTTACTTTGTCTTTCCTTTTTTTTAAAGATTTTATTTATTTATTTGACAGAGAGAGACACAGCGAGAGAGGGAACACAAACAGGGGGAGTGGGAGAGGGAGAAGAAGGCTTCCCGCCTAGCAGCAAGCCCGATGTGGGGCTTGATCCCAGGACCCTGGGATCATGACCTGAGCCGAAGGCAGACGCTTAACACCTGAGCCACCCAGGTGCCCCATTACTTTGTCTTTCCTCTTTTGACTGTTCCAATCTAGCTACCAAAAAAAGACTTTTGTAATTTCATGTTGCTTCCCCACATCTTTTTTCCTCCCCATTAGACAAAACTGAGAGAATAGTTGTATTTTATACAGTTATAAAGATGAATCTTTAGTGCACTTTCTGCGTTTCCATTTGTAACAGATAAAAGTCACGGTCCTCCACCCTAAGGAGGTATTTACTTATTTATTTATTTATTTATTTAAAAGATTTTATTTATTTATTTGAGAGAGCACAAGTGGGGAGGAGAGGGAGAAGCAGGGAGCCTGATGCGGGGCTCAACCTGAGCTGAAGGCAGATGCTAACCGACAGCCACCCCAGATGCCCCTCTATCCTAAGGAGGAATTTAAATACTGGATATGCTAGGTGTTGACTTCTCTTTTTATTTCCCAAGAGGTGGCTGCAGGAAATTTGACTTCAACCTTTATAACTTTGAAATGCTTTTTAAGAGAGTACCTCAGTTGTTTTGAAAGCTGGTCTCCGTGTTAGAATTACATAGTTTTGCCTTAATAGTAAAAGTAGGTCTGTGGGAGTAATTTCATTTTTTTTTGTGGGAGTAATTTTAAATAAACTTCCTAACAGATACTTCGGAAATGTCAAAATTTCACATTGGTCAGTATTAAGCACTTTTAGGTTCGGAGTAGAAATATAAATGGAAACACTCCCCAAATTTTATTTTTTATTTTTTTATATTTTAAAAGATGTTTATTTTATTTGAGAGAGAGAGAGAGAGCGCGCGTGTGTGGGGAAGGCGGAGGGAGAGGGAGAGAATCTCAAGCAGACTCTGTGCTGAGTGTGGAGCCTGACACGGGCTTGATCTCATGAACCTGAGATCAAGAGTCAGACGCTTAACCGACAGAGCCACCCAGGC